TTTAAAACAGTAGAATCTATACTTATAAAATAGATAACAGAGATATCTGTTTAATATATTATTTTATATAAAATAAAGTCAGATAATAAAAATATATATTTTTTGAATTTCTTTAAAATAGCAGTTAAAAGTATTACTAATTATTTATTATATTAAATCTATAATACAGACAGTTTTTAATATATTATATCTAATTATATCTTATTAGATTATTATTATAATCTAGATATCTCCAACTTCTATAAATACAGAATATCTGATAGAGGAATTAGTATTACTAGATTAATTAATTATTAAATCCTAATCTTATCTATAAATAATAAATATTATAAGATTAAAATCAAGATATTTTACTAACTAGATCTTATATATAGTCTTCTATCTATAACTTTCTTATAGAAGGACTTCAGAATATACATGAACATGATTAACCTGATTCTATAAAGAAAAATAGATAATAAAGTGGTAGAATACCTGTAAAAAAACAAAAATATATTTTTTATATATATTCAGAATATAGAATTAATTCTTACTGTAATTAACTTTTTATTATTATATTAATAATATAGATATACAGGATTCTATAAAATTATTTCTACCGCGAAGAACCAGCAGATTAAACTTAAATACTGTGAGGATTTATATTGTAATATATATTCTTTAGAAAAAATAAAATACTTAATATCAAGAAATCTTATTCCAAGAATCTCTGATCTTATATAACTCTGGTACACAGATATACAGTAAATAATTTTAGTTAGCTATAAAGAATTTAAATATTTTCTAGTAATAATAAATAATGCTATCTGATTAATTAAAATAATTATATTAAAGTAAAAAGATAATACCTCCACAGAGCTAATTTAGATAAATAATAAATATAAGAATATGGTTAGTAAATATATTATCTTATAATATTTTAATAAAGACTGCAAGTTCAACAGATTTAAAGAATAGATATATTATAAAAATTAAGAAATTTATATTACTATATTATCTTCCTGAATATCCAAGATAAATAGTCTTGCTGAGTATTACAGTAGTTTATTTAATTAAATAAGCAGGATTATAATTCTTGACTCAGATTTACTTATAATTTTCTAGCTGTTTACTGTGAGACTTACTGTACAGATTCTTAATTATCTAGTCTCTACAGAAAGTAAGATTAAAGAAATATCTGTTTATCTATACAGATTATATTATAATTTCTTGAATCCTGATACCTTGCTTGAGTTTCTATATATATTTAGATATTATTACTATTAATATATACCTGCAGAGAACTGTATTATTTTTAGAAAGATGGATCCCTGTACTAATACTAGTTATTTTATCAGATTTAACAGGAATTATGGTTATATTTATCTAGTATAGTATCTTAATTTAAATAAAATTAAATAGTTAAGAAATATAATATTCTATGAAGAATATATATATAAGAATAACTATAAAGATCCTGGTAGAGTAACTGTAATACTTATATCTATCTTTAAAGATCTAATTATATTAATACAGAGTACTGGGATTAATTTTGATAAAATAATTATATAAGATATAAAGAATATAATTAATAATAATAAGATTCTTTCTGTACAGAATGACACTGCTGATCTTATATATAGAAAAATAGAGATTATATTTATATTAACTGAATTTATTATACCTATCCTCCCTGTGCTTATTAATCTGATTTATTTAATAAAGAATTCTCATGACTACAAAGTGTTATCTATTAAATATATAAAATATGATTTCTAATTTATTAAATCTGAATTTTCTGCTGCTACAGTCACTGCACTGAGATAATTCTAATAAATTATAAAGAAAAAAAGTTCTTTATAACTAGAAAATAAATAAATAACTGTACTGGAGCAAGAGTCTGATCTGCTTTTTTTATCTATTCTTAAGTAATATAAGATTAATGTATTAAGTATCTATATAGAAGCTATCTTATTCCTGCTTATCCTATATTAGAAGACAGTCATGGCTATGCAGATTAATAAGATTAAATTAATAAATATATATAAGATAATTAACTATCTTACTGGTATCCGTGTAATCCCAGGCAAATAAATATTTAATTTAAAGATTAATATAGAAAAGATTATTATATAATTTTGTGCTCAATAAATGGTTTATAATAATTATTAGATATCTAGTATTAATTATACTGAATTTTTTGTTCCAGTAGCAAGCGAGATTATCTTTAAAATATTTATAATTAATATAATAGTAAAGAGCCTCCGCTGGAAGTAATATAATATTATTTCTATTTATTTATATATTTAAATAAAAGATAAACAGGTTTATATAAGATAACTAACTAGATTTTATAAGAATTTTCCTGAATAAGTATATTTATTTAAAATAACTCTTTATAGACTGCAGCAGGCAGTGCATCTATAATACTATATTTTTAATAAGAAATTACAGGAAATTGGCTTTAAATCTCTGCTGGAGAATCTGTGTATATATAAAAATAATAAAATATAATTTATTATTTATATAAATAATTCTGTTATCACTGGTTCTGAGCAGGCAGACCTAATCTTAATAAAATATTATCTTAATAAAGTATTTAGACTCAAGAAACTAGGCGAACTGAAGATCTTACTTAGTTATAATATTCTATATAATTATAAGATAAGTAATATCTTACTTAAATAGCTTATCTATATAAAAAAATATCTTGTTATTATAGATATATAATCCTGCTTAGATATTATTATTTTTATAATATTTATCTATGCAAAGACAGATTATACTATAATATTAATTGAGAAAGTTAATATTAATAAATATCAAAGTCTTATAAGCAGATTAAACTGGCTAATTATTAAAACTAGATCTAATCTATATTATATCATGTTCTGTCTGTAGAGATATATATATACTCTAACTGTAATAAATATAAAAATCTTAAAATATATGTATAAATATCTACAAGATATTATTTTTTATAGAATTATCCTGGCGGTTAATTATACTAAAAAAATTAAAATTTATATAAATACTGTCCATGCTAATCATGAAGATAGTAAATTAATAAAAGAATATATTATCTTTTATACAGGCAGACCCATTATCTGGTTATTAAATAAATAAAGTATTATTGCATCCTTTTCTATTATTACAGAATACTGTATATATAATACCGCTACTAAAAATACTCTGTATATCAAGAAATTAGTACAGGTATTTAATTTCAAGATATTAGATGATAGTAAAATATTCCTGTTTAGTAATACTATTAATTTATTACAGATTTTTAATCATGGTATATACACGCGGTCTACTAGATAGCTAGATAACTATTATTTATTTATAGCAGACCTAATTAAAATAGATATTATATTAATCTAATATATTACAGGTACTAGCAATCCTGCAGATAGTCTTATTAAACTACTAGATCAGGAAAAGTTCTGTAACTTCTAGATTCTACTAGAAATAATTTTATTAACTACCCCCCCGCAGTATCCAGGGAATAATACTTAATATATAAAAGATTATCTATCTAGAAAATATCTATAACTTTATTTAATATCTTCTCGCATACTTCTTCGCCTAGGGGGCCGTGTCGAGACATTTATATAGGCTAGTCACGTGCTGCACTCGGACCATCTACAAAGTACCTCTTCGCGTTGCTTTGTTTTACTCTCCTAGATAGCTCAATTCAACTCACTCTTTTGCTTCCATTCGTTCGTTTCGTTATTACTTTCGTTGCTGCTTCTGTAGAGCGCTCCTCAAGAAATGTCATAGTGGCTACTGCTGGTCCCTCTTCCACAGCGTTCATGTAACTCTGCTGGCGCCATGGCATTTATGATAATTCGCTCCTGCAATCGAATCGTCCAGCAAAGATGATTCCATGAACCTACAGCTAGCTTCCGCACCGAAGGAGCAGTACTGTATCTCGACCAATTCCCTTGTATCTCTCAACGAGTCTGGCATGTACGGCGTCTATCGGATTCGCACGTGTAACTGGGAGCAGGTGCAGAAACCTCTTATGTGTTTTGTTTGATTTCCTATGTCACATCGCGGTCTTCGGGGGTTGCAATATCAGAGTGGCGGCAACGACAAATTGTATAGTTCGTTCTGACGGATGAACAACAGCAGGATGGGGAAGAAAGGGATCACGGACATTGTGATGAGGACGTCGGTGTCTGTTGCTAGCGGCCTCAAGGTGACCCTCATTCTTATGGCCCGGGTAGTATGCTTCCGGAACATTTGAAACTTCCTATCGCGAAGAAACGCAAGCAGTCCCAAAGCTGGTGCTACACCCGTTTCTGTCACGCCAATTTCCAAGGCGCGGGCAGGAAACTTAGCCAATGCACGGATGACCGGTGCAGCCTTGGGCAGGGCTTTCAAGTGTAATGTCCTTGAAGGCCAGCATCATTACCAAGGGTTTGCGACACAAACGTCTTGGACAAGCACGTCGCAGAGATACGCGTCTCATCGGCCAAAAGTGATCGAATACGGAGTAGCGATCATGTATATCAGAACAGCTAAACTTTCATTATCGACTTCACGGTTTAATAGAACGATATCTATGAACGGCGGGGGCCAGTATGGTAGCATTATCGTGCCTAGTGATTATACATTGTTCAAGTACCACTGGCCGGTAACACTGGCTGATGTTGAAGAGCCCATTGAGAATCCGCTGGAGTTTTCTTTGGAGAGCTTCCGCAATTGCTTCGTTGAGGACGAAGAACTGGAAGTGGAAGGTTTTATTACAAGCTTGAATGATTGCGCATAGGATACCTGTGGCGGATTTCAGGAGCCGGAGAGCAGTCTATGGCGCTCTGGTAGCGAGGAATCAAGCCCAGTTCTATCTTTCTGCGGGCGAGCGTTCAGGCAACTTCAAGAACCGCATCATATGCGGAAGCAAGGCAACATTACGACTACCTGCTGAATAGGATCAATGTCACTTTGCTCCGATTAAGGCAGATGATGTTGATGAGTTCACACTTATATTAAGCCGTAAGATGACATACGATCATTTCTTTAAGCCAATTGCATCATCAAGCGCAGCCTCAAGCGCAACGCCAAAAGATGGCTGTTTCCAGCAGGCCAAGGAGAGCGCAAGTACAGCCTTACGGTCGGCCTCCTTCCTATGTTCAGTCGATTACGTCCATTTTTCCTACACCGAATATAGCGCAGATACGTCATCCCCTGCGATCATGTCAGCTTCAACTTATGTTGGTAATGAAATGCCACCGGCTGCAATGCACAGGCCCCTTTATGTGGGCTTCAACTGGTCTGCACCATTGGATCTCTCTTACACCGGGGTTTATGTTTGCGAGGAGGAATCATTATAGCGACCGCAGTCTCCAAGCCGACCTCGCATACCCCTAAGATGAAGCGACCGCCCCCGCCTTTCGTCCAGACATGATTTCTATCACACTGGCCTCAGTGGGTATAGTCTGGGAGGACGTCGCGAGTTTGCTCGACTGATATTTACATTTACCTACTTTCCCGAAGAAGGTCAGTCAAAGAGTTGGGTCCGAGATTGGTTGGCGAAGAACAACTTCGAGTTGCAGGGACGTTTGTGCGGAGTCCGCGCAAAGAATGAGAGACTGTAAGTGCTTTTCCTGCTTCACTAGGATGATCAAAGCAGTCAAACTGACTGACAACGATTCTAGTCTCGACGTTGCTTACTTTGTCAAAAATAATAGTTTCGCTCTCCCATACCGGTAGCTTGATCCGGACTATGGAGTATCTCACCCCCAAGCTTCAGAAAAACTGAACTTCACGAACAGCGAGAAATGAGAAGCTCTAAGCAAGTATTTTCTGTCTCTCTCTTCCTTGACAGGGCTCTGCTACAGCAAGAGGCTAGCTGGTTGACTGAAAGACGGCACCGGGACTATTGGAGATCGGAGTAGTAGTCCGTTCCTTATTTTCTCATGTGATATTATTTTCGAAGTCAACGGAGTCAGGTCCAAGGAGTCCTCACCTTCTTCTCCCTCCTCTTCTGCGAAACCTCTGGCCGGTTCGAATCAATCAGCTTCAGTTTATGGTCGACTGTGAAGCAGCAGAGGAGTCTACGGTGCTCTTGTAGTGGGCCAATTGGTCCAATTTTATGTTTGTGTCCGTGATGGCTCTGCGGAAGTCAGTCACTGAATTTTCGAACAGAACCTTGCTCATCTTCTTACTACTTCTTCCTATATAGTATCTTCTCGTTTCTTTGCTTCGATATATTCCGATTCCGGTTTTGTCATGGTTTCATTTTCTGACTATCCGGGAAATCATATATCATACAAGACCAAAGTCAAGGATAAGACTAATGAATCGGACAATGAAGCAATCCATGATTCAGTACGAGGAAGCTATGTTGCGGCAATATGTTCGATTACAGGAAGATCAAATTATCTATCTTGAAGAGTACCTAAGTATGAAACACATCTTCAACCTTAAATATTTCCTAAATTGTGACTCATTACCAATATTAAACTCAGTAAAAGCCTTGCACCCGCATCCATCCATCATGCTTAGCCTGATAATCAAGATGAATCTGCTAAGATGATTGCGCCAATAGCCATAATAGATACCGCGTCTTCCAGGTCGTAATACTATGTTTCCCCTCCTACCAAGACAAGCTAATCTTTAAGAGCAAGATAGCTTACAGTAGTTATAAGAAGCGACCAATCTCCTTGAAAGTACTATGCCAATGCAATTATTGTCATGAACATTACTCTGCACAATATGGGTAGGCGGACTGTTGGTAGGTCCAGTATTCCACATATGAAGATGGTATTTCCCCAGCTGTTGGTTCCATTGCTATTCACCCTCATAATATTTAGATCATAATATATACAAAACAGGAATAGCATTGAACAATCCGACAATGATGTTTAAAGTATCACCAAAAAGCTAAAATCGATACACCTGTCTCGAGCATACTGGATCCAAGTAGTACCAGGCTCGAGATCCAACGACCAGAACGTCTTGAGGAAGGAAAGAACGCGGCTCCGATCAAGGTTCCCACTCATTCGGATCACATTCATCATGGCCGTCTCGACAATGTTCTGCATCTGTGGATTGCCTCTAGATTCTGTACCTGTGATGAAAAGTGGCCATACCAGGTCTTGAGCAACGGCGGGGCTGCATGATAGGGGTAGTACGTGGTCGAGAAGCACATCGAGCGAAGATTGTATGCTTTCGTCTGGGGATATGCTGTCGGAAAAGACGCGGTGGGTGTAGATAAGCGTAGCATGATAGAACATGTCCACTAGGCATTCGAAATCCTGTCGTGCTTGGTCTGATTTGAACTTGATTGTGTGGCTCATCTGCATCATTCGAGCTTTGGCGATTTCTATGTCTAGTAGTGTGGATTCGATCGGGACGGGTTGCGAGATGGGCTGCGTGGTGTATGTTTGTCGCTCGGCGCGGGTGACGCTATGCATGATTCGGATGAAGTCACTGAATATTGTGACGTTGTCATGTGTTGGGAAGTCGTCTTGTAGCTGGTCGATTGGATCGAATGTGGTTAATCCGATGTAGACAGATGTGTAGTAGTATTCATAGAATAGAAATACATCGGCGACATTTGTATATAGTGCACTACTGGCGGATTGTAGGTTCCACTGGATAATTTCCCGGGCGCATTGTATGTGTATTCGCCATTGGGCAGCCGGTGCTGTTAGTAGTTCAAGGTTGTAGAGAAGGAGAGCAGAAGCGAGGATATGTCTCGCCTGATCTTTGCTTTGAACCGCGGTCGGGTCCTGAAGTAGGTGTCCCATGTCCCTTGATAACCAAGTCAGGGCCACGTTCTGGTTGTGACGGGAGATGGCTTGGAGTGACTGTGCCCAATGATGGTCTGCTGGATACTTGGCGGCAAGGTCCTTCGAAGCGAGAGCAAGCACCGAGTACCGTACGGTTGATGAGTCGTGTGACAGAGGTAATACTAAGCTTCTCCAAGGATTGTGGAGGTCATCCACCCACGCTAGTCTTGTAGCGACGCCTCGATCGAAGTGATCGAGTAACTGGGCAGTAAGACTGTCGAAGGGCAAGCCGGGCCAACGGGCCGGTAGTTGGAGGTCTACATTGGGCACGGCGATGCCTGCACGGGGATGAAAAATCTTCTGTGATATCTGGGAGTCCCTTCGGACCGGTATTGCCTGTCCTGTCAATTTGCCTCTGCTTGCGACACCTTGGCCCCATCGTAGATTGATCCCATATCCAGGACACCGAAGTTTCCGTGAAGTACACTTTCGACAATGGGGGAGCGTTCTATCACAGGAGATACGACGGGTTCTGCAGACTTGGCAGTCTAGGAGGTCAAGATATTAACTCGAGAATCTACCTTGGTAGTTGACTGGGGTAAATTACCTTTAGCTGGGACTTCTGAAGGCGTCCGATCGGAGGTCATGTGTATTGGGAAGCGCGATAAAGTGACTTCGATGGATCGTCCAGCCAAGTTCTTATTGTATACTCTCCAATGAAAACCATGCTGCGAATTTAGCGGCGATGCTCACGGACTTGGGGTTAGGGTGAGCGGAGTGAAGGTTTAGCAACCATCAAGCAGGGCTTCATCAGCAGATGCACATGATGAGAAGACAGATGTATAGCAGAGTTTGAGCATCCGCGAAGCCAAAAAGCAAGCAGTGTTGCCGCATTGCTTTGTCACCACTGTTGGGTGTCACGAATCACGATGTGTGGTTCAAACCACAGACCGGCCAGTCTAAACCCAGACAGGAAGCCAAGATGTGAGAATAGACTTTTAGTGGGGTTAGGTACCCGTGACGAGGGCCCAGTTGCTACCAGTTTGGATAACAGCGCAATCGATAATTTTAAATTCTCTTGATTTCCATGTAGTGGACACCTTGTTGATCCTTCTCGGTAGACGTGTCCATCTTGAAGCTCTTGCAAAATATTATGGTACAAAAGAGTCAGTGACCTTCTCTCCAGGAGGGTCAGTGATGCCGGTGTGGTCACTATTCCGTCCCCGCATTATGGATGTGGAATAATGGAGAGACATGCGCGGATTAGTCTGAAGACAGAGCGTATCATGGCTTATCATGTCTGTTAGGTACCAAGGATGCTTTTGCTAAGGTTTCTGGTTCCATCATTCATGGAACACTCTATTATACGCAGAACCTACTGATCTACTACCAACAGAAAAAGAATGTATAGTACACTGACAGACTTATACGACATGAAGCTCCTTTAGATCCATCGTCTCATCCTCCGATTTTTTCAAATACGCCTTGTGCAGCAATGTCTTCAAAAAGTGTGTATAATCAAACACCAAGTCTCTCAGCTTCGCCAACGGCCAAGGTAAGTTATGGAACACATAACTCAAATACCGAGCAAACTCCATGTGATGATTGACCTAGTCCACACGCTGTCGTTCGAACAACTCAAAGCCCGCGCCGACAGCCCTCAAATCCCGTAGATCAACTCCGTCGAGCGCCTTGGCAAGATAATACCCATCCTCGATCGCCATCCCCATTCCATACGCCGCATATGGCGAAACCGGATGCACCGCATCCCCCACACCTACGATCCTCCTTGAAGACCACTTCTTCATCGATGGCCGATTGTAGATGTCCCACCGATATACTTGCGTATCGAAATCAGTGGCTTCCACCAGCTGCCGCAAGGGATCCGACCAGCCCTGCAGAATCTTGTCTACGTGGGCCTTGGGATCCTCAGGAAGCGGCTTTCCTTCCCACCCCGGCTCGACAACCCACCACTCGAATCCCGGCTTGCCGTCATGCAACATAGGAAAGAAACTCGCTTGGTGTTGCCAGTCGTGCGAGATGACACCGGTGTTGGCAGGAATCCCAGGGATGTGACCACACCACGCGAGCCAAAGCCGGATGCCTGTGTGGAATAGCTGTGGGTCACCAAATGCCTGACGCGAAACGGCGGACCGAATACCCTCTCCTGCGATTAGGATATCGGCCTTTATTGGTTTGATGTTGCTATCCTTGAATTTGACTTCCACCTCACCTTCGACTTCCTCGTATCCCGTCACTTCGTGACTGCAGAAAATGACGCCCTCGGGAACAAGATCGAGCATTTTCTGGAAAGCGGATGATCGCAAGACACCATATTGCCAACCCTTGATGCCCATCCGTTCTTTCGACTTCTTCATTGAAGGGAAGCACGGCCCGTTCCTTGCCCCATTTGTTGTTGAAGTATGTCCACGTATAGGATCCGAAGTTCTCGAGGCTGATTCCGTAAGAGCGTAGAATCGCAAGCACAGGGATAGAGAAGAGAACCGCGCCTCCGATAGCACGGCATTCGGTTTGTCGCTCAAATACCCGCACGTCGTAGCCACGCTTGATGAATGCCAGCGCGGTGGATATAGCACCGGGTCCACCGCCTGCTATAGCGACTCGTTTGCCGGGGCGCCAGGTGGACATTTCGACGGTTCGAGAACCAAAGAAGAAGAAGACAAGCCCAACGAGTGAAGAAAGAAAGAAAACGAGAGTAGTGGAAATGAAACTAGTAGTATGGTATTTAGCAATAACACACATGGCGATCGAATATAGAAAAAATGATTGTATATTATTCATTACTCAGCGGAAAGCGGAATGTCCAAGGCTACTTTATATTCCGCAGGGTCTTTTTACCCGGCACAACAGCTTCCCAAAACCCGAAAGGATTACGCTTGCTCTGCTAGCCCAACATGTGTTGCAAATATAGTCGTTCCTTTACCTTCTAGGGTATTGATGGGGAAGATTCGGGTCTGGCGAGGGATATCTTTGTACAAGATTGTTCAAGTGATTATCTCCGGGGTTTATCTACATAGGGGGATCTCCGAGGTGTGCTGATAGGCGGCACTACTTATAATAGTACAATCGGTGGAAATGATAGTTACCATGAGTGAATACCCGGGTCTATGTATTGATTGTGACCTACTACTACTAATCTCCATACGGTATAATGCCTACTATGGAAGGACAGGAACACATTTCAGCATGATACAGCAGCTAAGTATGTGGTGTTTGTGGGGTCGACACATTGCGTTTGTCTGTATTCCACATCAGGAAGGAAGGGCTCAAGGGGGTATACATCATCAATTCCGTAATATGGTAGCTGGATAAAAAGAAATCTCACAGAAACAGAGACTACGATTGACAATCCCAAAGAAAGGTTGTTCGACAAAGCCAACATTAAAGAACTCGGGAGCATCCATCCGTCTTTGTGTCACCCTCGCAAAAGACCGCAATAAAGAAATCTTCTCGTTTATTCAAAAACAGTCTTCCCGCACTCGCAGCTCCAGAACTTTCTGTTACTCCTCAGACAAAGACACTATAAAAGGGTACTTGAACGGTGCATCCATATCCCCCATCGCCCATCCACGGCCTCTTCTGCTATTGACGAAACATGACATCTCATCATATTCCTAATCAAGGCCGAGTCGCTGAAGCGCGGAATTACGACCCTTGGCACCTTCACGAACCATCCAGTCAGTGGATAGATTTCTGCCATACAAACGGGATCCCCTGGTGCGGCGTGACTTCTCCGGACGACGAGTTTCCCTATCAAGAGGATTTTGATACCCAGATCACCAATCAATGGGCCGCGAGCGCTCAGCATGAAAAGCGTAGGAAGGGTCTGATATACCTACCCCCTACTTACCTGCTATGATCAAGCGCTAACGCGATGTCAATAACCTAACCAGGCTACGAATCCAGAGTTAAAATTTGCAACTCCACCATCCCCCGAGTCAAAGAGCCCAACAACCCCATCTCCATCCGACTCTACTACCCCATAGCCTTCTTTGGGCAACGAGGCACCGCGGATCCACTCCCCTTATACATCCACTTTCGCGGGGGCGGATTCCTCTGCGGAGATCTGGACACCGAGGACGCCATCTGCGCAGAAATGGTGAGTAGCCTGACGCCTACCTGCCCCATCATTGTCATTAGCATCGATTACCGAAGTACCGTGGAAGAGCCCTTTCCAGCCATGTATCATGATGCGTGGGAGGCATTCGAGTTCATCCAGGGACGAATTAGAGGTTACGGCGGGGATCCGAAACGCGTCATCCTCGGCGGGGAGGACTCTGGCGCTGCGCTGGCACTGTGGGTTGCCATGTTCGCGAAGAAGACGGAGGTAGTGCCCAAGACGCAAAGGCTCAACATTGTAGGGTTGAACTTGACAACGCCGTGGTTTCCACATATGGACGTGGAGAAGGCCGCACAGACCGAGTTTTCAAGGTATCAATGTTGGAACGCGCCGTTTCTGCCGATGGCTGTCCACCACATGTATAGAGACATGCTCGAAATGGAGGAGTCGAATTTGTCGCATTTCACTGTGGGGGAATGCTCGGATTTTTCGGGGTTGCCGCGGACTTGCATGCTGGTTGCGGGACAGAGCTTGTTGAGGGATCAGGCGTTGAGACTTGCGTATTGCATGGAACAAGCTGGGTAGGGCTTTGTTTTTCTTACTTTCTTCATCTACGGGGGCTGCACTGACGGTCTACTAGTGTTCGGGTATCCATCGAAATATTCTCCGGAATGCCTCATGAGTTTCGTCGCATCTATGTCTTACCGCAGGCTGAGGTTGCGAATACTATGGTCGAGGATAATATTAGGTGGATTCTGAGAATGCCAGGGCGTTTGTATACCGACCAAAATAGTCACAAATTGTGATACCATGGATAATTTCTTTTGATTGATATGTGGACTACCGGGATGGCCTTTGCGTTGTGTGTTTATGAAACGGCCGTTGCACCAATTGTATGATACAACTAGCTTCATTAGCTAGAACATGTCTTCTCGCTTATGAGCGCAAATTCCTTCTGCTCCCTATCGTACCAAACCCCATGTTTCCTCCATTCCTCATTGTCCGAGTACCGATCCAGATACCAGGTGATATTACCCCCGGAGAATTCTGCATCCACGAATCCACATCCCAAGTACCCAAATCTATTTCCACTCCAATATTCAATTTCGTAGTCGCTCAGAGTAGGTGTATTCAGTGCTTCGAAGAACGCCAATCGAGAACCAGGCCAGATAGTAATCGGGCCATCAACCCTTCCCTGCTTGAACCAGCTAGAACAAGGATCGGACCAACACGTCCGTGGGAAGTATGTCCGAGCGTGCTCGACAAAGTCGTGCACTGCGGACTCCTTAGGACTGAGTCGCCGGATATGCTCTCTCCGCATACGCTGGACGATCTGGATGAAGTGGTTCGTCACGTGGGAGATAATGGGGAGAATGGACCCATGCGCCGCAGGCGTAAAGGGACCTCCGTACATGAAGTAGTTTGGGAAGCCGTCGATGCTGACTGTCAGGTAACTGGTCGGAGCATCTTTCCATTTATCGTCCAGGTTAACGCCGTCTAACCCGATGATTGGGTATCGAGGTCGGAAGGATGTGTCGAATCCGGTAGCGCAGATGATGACGTCTACCTCATGTTCGGTTCCTGTTGCAGAGTCGATGAACCCCTTCGGTGTGATGGATTGAATCCTTTCTGCGAAGACGGTTGTCTTGTCGGACGCGAGCGCTTCTAGGTAGCCTGTGCCGGGTGTTGGGCGTCGACAACCTACGTTGAAGGTCTTGGGGATTAGGGCGTCCTTCACGTAGGGTTTTGGTGCGAGCTTGTCGGACATGCTTTTGTAGGAGGACTGTTGTATGGTTAGTATCTGGGGTTGATAGGTTTGTAAAAGCACGTACAGCGTTCGCTTCGTCCGACTCAGCGGTATTGCGGAGCGTGAGCTTGGCGCGTTGGTTGAGCTCATGCTCTACTGATTTGTGGTACCGGTGGTACATTTCGGGGTCTTTGTTGAAGTCGCTCTTCTGCTCCGGGGTATCTGCATTGCATTAGAGTTTATCTTCTGTGGCAGGGAATGCAACGTACAGTCAAAGTTGCGACCGTCCTTCCCGGCGTAGCGTTGCGCAAATGCAGCTGTGATCCAGATTGGGGTTCGCACCCAGGTGTAGAGGTGTGAGACATCGTTGAGGATTGAGGGAACGACTTGGACGCCTGAACTGCCCGATCCGATCACAGCTACGCGCTTGTCTTTCAGATCTAGCCCCTCGGGGTAGGCTGCTGTGTGGCACAGTGTTCCTTGGAACGAGTGTATTCCCGGCGTGTCCGGCCATTTCCAGGAGCTGCTCTGAGGTCAGGAGGATGAATGCGAGGGGGAAGGGGATAAGACGCACTTGAGGAAGCCAGCTCCATTTATCAAGACATCACACTCATCCTCCCACTCCTTCACGCACGGCGTATCTTGTTGCAGCTTGACCACCCATTTACTCTTTTCCTCGTTCCAAATTGCCGATACCACGCGGGTGTTTAGCGTGATATACTTCATCATGTCTTCTTCGACGACGATTTGCTTCAGATACTCCCAAATCTCCTTTGCACTCGAATAGAAACTCGACCAGTTTGGGTTTGGACGCCACGGGAAGGAATAGGCGATGCTAGGCACATCGCATGCACATCCCGGGTACCGATTCTCATACCAAGTCCCTCCGATATCTGCGTTCTTCTCATAGCACGCAATCTCCACACCCAGTTCAGCTAGCGCCGATGGGGCATAATGGAGAAAGTCGATCCCCGATGCTCCCGCTCCCATCATTATTATTTTGAACGGTTTCCCCAGTGGGGGCTCGTTGATGAGATGACTGTAAACCGTATAGCCCCGGTCGGATGGTTTGTTGAGTTCCGCATGTTGGACGGGTCTAGTTACTGAGGCCGGATGAGGCCCCGGGGTATTACTCCAAAGGCGAATATCCACGGGGAGGCCATATTCCTCGAACACTGGATTGGTTTGCACGGTCTGATCAATGGAGCCCATGTTTGTGGGGTGAGTTACAGAATACTCGATGCTTGAATCAATTGAGTTAGAGGTGGAGACATTGAGCCAAACTTAGCTGGAGGACGTAGTGCGGGCGCACCGACGATCCAATATATAACCTGCCATCTGGCATTCAGCTATCACTATCCCTGTCACTCAGTAAGGCCTATCATGAGGGAAAATGACCGAGGTCTGGACTGTTGCGATAGGGTGCATTAGACTGTTCCTTGCTGTGTGTACTTGATGGTTATCAGTGGACTTGAACCAAGCGTGGGGTTTGATGCTGCGAATCAGTGGGAGGGGCAAGTGAGGGGGTGGATGGCACAATTTTGGACCAAGTGGGTGGATGGATACGCGTGAGCCAATACGCGTTACACACTGGTTATCCTCGGTGAAACCACCCCATCCTTTGCATATATAGAGCGCACAATTCCAGAGACGGTCGCAAATCCATCGCTTGGATATGCACGCTGGAGACATATCTGTTACTTGATTGTTCAGACCATCCGAAGCCAACCGCGAAATGCTCGAATTTCCCAAGTCCGACCGTACCGTTCGGGTGCGAATGGTCGATACCACCACTTTAATGACTGTCAATTCTGGATTCCTCATACAACCAGTGCAGCCGGGCCATGAGATTCTGAACCTTACTAATGTTGCCTTTCTTATAGAACATGAGGCATCAAATCAGAAGGTCATGTTCGACCTCGGCACGCGAAAGGACTACTGGAACCTCCCTCCAGTCGTTCGCCAGCCTTTTGATCAAGCCATGAAGGCGGCGAGAGTAGACAAGGATGTCACCGAGATCCTTTGTGAGAAGGGCATTGAATTGCGCGACATTGGTAAGAATTTTGGTTTATATCCATACATATTCTCCTCATAAGTGCTCACGGTTTAGGGTCTGTCATATGGTCTCACTACCACTGGGATCATATAGGAAACGTCGCTCTGTTTCCCCCAACCACCTCCTTGGTTGTAGGCCCTGGTTTCAAATCCCATCCTCATTTACTGCCTGGCTTCCCGGACGATGCTGAGTCTCCAGTGTCAGCGGATGCGTTCGTAGGGAGAGACGTGGTTGAGCCTGACTTTGCAGATGGATTGACGATCGGAGGGTTTCGTGCACAAGATTTCTTTGGAGATGGTTCATTCTATTTGCTGGGTAAGTCAATCGATCTTCCTGTGAGAAGCTGGAGCTGCTTACTGTATAACTAGACACACCTGGGCACTGCGTCGGTCACTTATGCGGTCTTGCCCGAACAACGGCTGACACCTTCGTCTTCCTTGGTGGTGACATCTGCCACTTTCCGGGCGTCATAAGACCGAACGCCAGGCTTCCATTCCCAGACAACATCCCGTCAGAGGCCTTGGACAAAGATTCGTTCTTTCCAAGTCCATGCCCATGCAGCATTTTCACAAATAGCCACCCGATAGCCAAGGTTGACCCGAGACAAGAACCCTTCTATGAGGTTTCCGGTTGCGAAGGAAGTGCCTTTTTCGACGCGGAGGTTGCACAGAAGTCTGTCACTAAACTCTTGGACTTTGAGGCATCCGAGAATGTTTTGATATGTATAGCACATGATTCTGATCTGCTACTGCATCTTCCCACGTTCAATGACTCGCCGTCCTCCGACCTCAACTTGTGGAAAGAGAAGGGTTGGAAGGAGAAGCTGCGCTGGGGATGGGTCAATGAGCTGCCGCGTTCTGGTCGTCCTGGCAGGAAGCCACATGTTGAAGGGTACTGGCGCGATGGTAAGTTATGGGAAGAGGCGGTGCAGACGCTTCGTCGCAAGGCAGAAACGTAGAGGTTCGATCACAATTGGAAGCCCCCCTTCAGGCACCAAGGCTCTCTATGATAGGTTCTCTAAGAGAAGAATATATGAATTGAGAGCTTTCACAATACTACTTCTTCCTTCGGCTCTTAGAGCCGAGCATTTCCCGACACATTTATCTCATAGCTCTTATAGGCGGCGAGAAGCACACTACGGACGGATTAACATAATAATGCGTTTCCCTATTCTGCTGGTCGGGCTTTCCAAATATGTGGTCGAGAACACAATTTAAGTATTCTTTCTTCACGAAACTGAAAATATTCCGAAGACAAACTTTAAGCATACCTATGCGTTTGCATTACCCAGAAGCTAACAAAATCAGCCATGGCAGGCCCTCAAAATCCATGTCGCTAACACTATTTCTTTACTTGCTCTTCATCCCTTTCATCCTCAATTCCTTCATATCAATCCTCACTTTCACTTCAAAATCGTTTATCATCGCCGTTAATATTTTATATTAGATTTCACTTGTATCCAAAGCTATCGCAAGGCCCATTTGTCAGAGATGTCATCGAAAGACACCCTTCCTCTGTTCCTCCACGATCTCAAGAACTCTGGACAGTACAGTGACCTCAAGATTGAGTGTGAAGGAGAAGCATTCCATGTGCACAAAGCCATCGTCTGTTCCCAGTCTGAGATCCTATCTCATAGATACAAAGACGCGTCTGAGGTGAGGCGATACTTCTACTACGCCGCCATACGGAGCCGATAATAATCCTACAGGGTGCTCCTGAGGCAGTCATTCAGATCGACGGATATGGTACAGCGACAGTGAAACTGATGATCGAGTTCCTATACTTCGGAGATTATGCGATCCCTGATAAAGGTACGAGGACATGTACATTCCTCGGTCATTTATCTCTGCTAACACACGATTAACTAGAAATACCTCAAGAGAGTGAGCTAAGCATCTCGGCAGACGCTTCAAAGAAGCCCACTACAGCGGAAAGGCTGCGCCCCCATATCTACGTCTACTATATTGCGGACGAATACCAATTGCAAGACCTGAAAAACAAGGCAGCAAATCACATAGAGTCCGCGACTATAATGGCTTGGAATCCGAAAGGATTCGTCGAGTTCGTCAAGGAAGTGTTCGAAAAGGCTGATACAACGATACGTCAAAAGCTATCTAAACTTATTAGTGAACATATTGACGACTTTGGCCACACCGAAGTGCTGGAGAAGCTCATCGATGACGATCTGAGCAGATGCGTGATCATGGCTATGAAGGCAAGGTATGAGTGGACGCAGCCACAGTTGATGGTTACTCAGGAATGCCTGATAACGACGAACAGAACAGTGGAGAGTTTGAAAGCACAGGTCGAGGTGCTGCAGAAGAAGATCAGTAATATGAAGGCTGGTGTAGAGCAAGGCCACAATCTGCTTCATAACACAAAGACTTGCCGTCATTGCGGTATGATGTTCCTTGGCAATATTGTATGCAAAGGTGCTATTGAAGATGGCTATTTTCTTCGTTGCATTCGATGCCGAACCAAACACCGTTAGGTTGGTCCACTCGGAATCAATTCTACCTTACAGAATTGTTGTTGCTAACATCTAAGAGAAACAGACAATGAGGCTTATTTGCACGCATGCCTCAGCCCATGATGTCTTGCCCTTCCACTTCCAACTTCTCTAGAGCCAGTACTTTCTTCCTGCCAGATCACGAGCAGCCATCTATTGCGTGTCAGATGTAATTGTGTGAAAGCGAAACGCACCTGTGCTGACGGATCTCATCATCGTTGGCATCGTCAAGCCATGCATTGCAGCGGAATGGATAGTGTATCGACATGGCACATTAGCAGAGAACGACTTGAATCGGGCGATGATCATAGAAGCCTTCTTTTTAGTGCACGGCAGCCTCTGCGTTGTCTGGAGAGTTTCGAGCATATTGAGAAATGGCACCTTAGCATGTGTCCTCTGATTTAATCAAACCTCAATATTCAATAAAGGTTTCCTTGATTAGGTAGTTCATTAGACTAGGGGCTCTGTAGCTCATTATCAACGAGAGTTCTCTTGAATTTTTGGCTGGTCCATTGGATAGCCATCCATATTGCGGCCCAAGCCAACAGTGATGTGATGGTTGAGGAATGCTTATCAGCTGGCCACCCCCGATCGCTACCACCCCGCACGATAATGCAACTCAGGAGTCATTAGTGTTCTTCCTAAATTAGTGCCCCACTAATCCATGACTACAATAGGGTGCGAAGATTATCTATCCCGCTGGTGTGATTTGATCTCCTGCTGTTTCCCTTTGAGGATAGCGCACTGACTGCTGCTTGGCTTATCGTCCTTCAATTCTGTCTATAGATATCTCTACTAGCACGCTTTTCGAATACTGTACCGACTTCACTAAAAAGATCGTCTTATCTAGAACAATGTTAGGACTCTGGTGTGCTGCTATTGTTATTCTTCTTGTTTTTCTTTATCAGCGATTGTCGAGTCCCATTTCTAAACTCCCTGGCCCTTGGTATACCAAGTTGACAAGTCTGGTTATCAAGTACCATGAGTTCTCGGCTAGCCGTCGTGTATTTATCCATCAGCTGCACAAACAGTATGGCACTATTGTGCGGATAGCACCCAACGAGGTCTCCTTTGCATCTTTGGATGCCATTCGAGAGATTTACGCGTCAGGCGGCAGTGGCTATGATAAGACGGAATTATATGACCTCTTTCGACAGTTTGGGATCAAGTAGGTCCTGCATCTTTGGTGGTTTTCACATACTAATCCGTCTTAGGACCATGTTCTCTACACTCGACAAGCAGACGGTAGGTTACTCATAGTAGAATCAGGCCTCATCGACTGATCTTTCAAAGCACAATGAGCGAAAGCGACAATTAGCCGATCGATATGCCATGTCCAATATTCTGCGAGAACATCATGTGTCGGCGATCCGAGATAGCGCTAAAGCGTTCGTATCCAAGTGTGCAGCTGTGGCGAAGGGTGTGGATGTCTATGTATGTGAGGAATTCAGATCAGACTGGGCCATGCTAACTTGCATAGGTCTATCTACACTGCTACGCACTTGACTGCGTAACACACTTCATGTTCAGTCCTAGCGGACTGAAATCTCTCACCGATGAAAATGACTTTGAGCTGATGGAGGAAATGACGTACCATAACAGCTTACAGAGTATGTTGTTTTCTGTGCGATAAGGACCTACTAACGGATATAGAAAACCTACTTCCTTACTACCTGCCACATCTCGCTCCATACTTCCCTTCTTGGCTGCGACCCCGTCGGGCCCCTAAATCCAACGCATACGTCCATAGAGTCACGGCCCAGACAAGTCCAGACGGATACAGTCTCCTTGCTCGTCTCTTGAGAAAGGATTCGTCCATAACCAGATCACAAGCAGCAGCAGAATGCAAAGACCACATGGCGGCAGGAATCGACACAACAGGCGATGGCTTGTGCTTTTTGATGTGGGAGTTGTCGCAACCGCACAACTTTCGATTTCAAGACCGCCTTTATGAGGAGCTTCGCTCAGCACCAGAAGGTACGCACATTGATCGATTACCGTACCTTGATGCTGTAATCAAGGAGGCCTTGCGCTGTGCACCGCCAATCCCAATGTCATTCCCTCGTTATGTGCCAAGCGGTGGTAGAACAATTGACGGGACCTTCATCCCCGAGGGAATCATCGTCAGCTGCCAGCCGTACACCGTGCATCGCCTCGACACAAAGGTTTTTCCGGATCCAGATACTTTCAATCCGGATCGTTGGATGGAGGAAGATGGCATCAACGAGCGCAACCGACTGTTCTTCGCCTTTAGCACCGGAGGGAGAGGGTGCACTGGAAGAAAGTAAGTTGCAATGAATCTCATCGTGAATTCTGGTCTAACTTTTGAAAGCCTGGCGACTGTCGAGATGAAGATCCTCCTCCAAGAAGTTTACTCCCGGTTCCAGACGACAGTGGCTCCGGACATGACTAGCTCCATGGAGATTGACGACCAAATCATCTCGTCTCGACCAAAGGGGCAGACGTGCAAGCTTATATTTACTCCTCGTGAGATATGAGATCAATTTACAGAAGGCATGGGGTAATGAAGTCCACGAATATTGGCATCGCCACATCATCGGGGTTAGTTCCAACGCAGGCACGGACGGCCGTGAGGGGTGGAGATATCCGGTCCGCTTTTGATGCGGGGTAAGCAGATCAGGGGCGAACGCTAGGAGATGAAGTCAGAAGTAGCCATCTATGAATTAATTTATCGGCTGTTTGCACCGGCATTTGCATCAAAAACACAATAAACTCTGTGTCCACTGTATCAATGGTAATTGGTACCAAATACAGAGCTCAGAGAACCGAGGTTTGACTTCTAAAAATTGAACGTCTACATCTTCTATAAGTACCAGCTACATTATCGATAACAATCCAGCATAATGGATGTCAATCTGAATCACTTTATATTATATTCATTTATAACTCAATAACAACCTCGCCAATACAATGCACATGTCTTCCCTCTCAAACTGGGCCACGGTAGCCATTCAGGCCCTTCTTCTACTTTCTCCCAACATTCCCGTAGCTACCTCCTCACCATCTCCCCCAGAACTATCATTCCTATACACGGCCTACGTCGAATGCGAATCAAGTCTCATGAGCTCTCCTGGTCCTCACGGTGTGCGACGTACAATTCCAATCGTGGGTGGAAACTTCACTGGTCCTAATCTATCCGGTAGCCTACATCCTGTACCCAACACCTTCACATTAGTTACTAAAATCCCTTAATAGGCAAGATCCTCGACGTCGGCGCCGACTGGGGCTTAGTCGATCCCCAAACCGGCATCTTCAGCGCAGACACCCGATACAACTTCCGGACCGATGATGGAGAGAATATTTTCCTTCAGACATCTGGGCCGAAGTCGCCCAGTGGACAGCTACATCTTCGACTGGTTTTTGAGACGGGTAGTCGGAAGTATTACTGGTTGAATAATGTTGTTGGTATGTTGGGTTCTGCAGTCTTCGGAGAGGGAGGTATTTTGATGGATGGGTTACGCTAACATGATGAATAGCGATCGGTATTCTTACCAATGTGGCCGAGACGGCTAATACTAGTCTGCTCAGGATTGATGCTTGGAATGTGAGTTAATTGGAATGATTCTTGGTTGTTCGTGGGATGCTGACGAAGGTTTGAATGCAGATGGCTACGGATCGGAATTCGACGAGTTTTGTGAATCCAACTACTACTACTACTACTGACTGAGAATGCCTGGATATGTCGGGAGAATATTACGGGGATTTTGGTATATTCGTTGAGTCAGCTGGGAAATAAGGTCAACCGAAGAAGAATTGCCGTCATATTCTGTTTTGGCTGTATATCCATGAGGAAGGAAATACACGGAGGTTCTGTAACCTGAAATCATTGCTTCACTTCTACAGCATAAGCTACCGAGTATGTGCATTAAGATGCTTTATCTAGACGTAAGAACTGGAATTCCCTCAACCGTGGAGCTGATATGGCAATGTCGCCGAATTCGGCGGTGCTCGGCCGGCGCCGTGCGGGGTAAGTCAGCGATAGCGTCGAACTACTCAGTCTAGCCGACACACTCAACCAAGGTCCTCATTTGTGTCATTCTCTTCCCTCGTTAACTGCACCCTGTTGCTCCTGAAACTCTCCTTTCTATTGTTCATTACTAAACCCTACAATGGCTGCTGAAAACCCTCCCTCGCAGAGCCGTCTCTCGACGCGGATCTCCATCCGCTGGGTGCCCGAACCCGCTTTCGAGAATACCGACACGATAGTCATGTCGGTCGCAGGCTGGTACGTCGACCTGCGCGTTGACAAAACCTCCGGGGATATCGACTGGGCTATTGCAGGCCAGAGAGTTGTCGATGATGCGGATTCAAGTATGATCACTTCCAGCTGATTCTTTCGTCGAGGGACTAATGGTTATAGGTCGGGTGTCGTTCACCCATGAACTCGACTCTAGGAACTCGTTTGACGCGGTTGATTGCGGTACATTTTCTGCTCTTCCTAATGGCGATGATCTTGAGAAGGGCGAAATGCCTCGTGCCGACCTCCCTGGCTCCCCGATCGCAGAGTATGAGGAGGTCTGGCGTGAGTTGACATTTCGGGAGGGCCCGGAGGGCCCCAATACCGGTGTTTCGTGGGTCCTCGAGTCGAAACAGAAACCTCTGGACGAAGGGGAGGAGGCTGAAGTGGAGAGGACTTTCCTTGGGAGAGTTTGGGGTACGTACCTGGCTCTGCACCAGGTTCAGATACATACTCGTCCCAGAGGTTCATCTACGACAATCGTCAAAGAGGGACGGGAAGTCAGTGCTAGGAGGGAAGAATGGGACTCTGCTTCCGGTTGGCAGCTCAAGTACTCCATCAGTCCCGCCGGAGCTCAACTACCTTCTACGACCCAAATTCTGGGAGATAGCTCGTGGCAAACTGGCCAGACAGTTATACTTGCAGGAAAAGAATACATCGTCAGAGGATTTGAAAGAATAGTCTAAGGTGCGTCACGTTCGTCTATATACTCATTACTCTATATTATATACAAGTGATGGTTGCTTACAGCTCGTTGCTCAGGACGTAGCGGTAGCGAGCCTTGCCAGCGTCCATTTCCACAACGGCCTTGTTGGCGTCCTTCATGGAACGCTCCTCGATCCAGGGCTGGACCTTCTTCTCGGCAGCCAGGGCAAGCATCTCACGGATCTCGTTGGGGCCTCCGATGAGGGAACCTCCCAGCTTGGCACGCTTGCCGATCAAAGCGAAGGCAGGGATCTCAAGGGCACCGTCCTCGGGAGCACCGACCTGGACGAAGCAACCGTCGAGGTCGAGCAGAGTGGCGTAGTCCACCATGGGCATCTGCAATATGTTAGATTGAGTGGGATACAGATGCGTTCAAGAGACATACCTTGGAGGAAGAGACGGTGGAGACAATGAGGTCGAGGGAGCGGGCGTTGTTCTTGGCCCAGTCGGCATCGTCATCGGTGGCGATGTAGGCATCAGCGCCGAGCTTCAGAGCATCCTCCTTCTTGTTGTTCTTGCGAGAGATGGCAACGACCTTGTCGGCGCCAAGGGCCTTGGCGAACATGATACCGAAGTGACCAAGACCACCAACACCGATGATACCGACACGCTTGCCGGGAGCGCAGCCGTAGTGTCTCAGGGGAGAGTACACGGTGATACCACCGCAGAGCATGGGCGCAGCCTGGGCGGAGGGGATGGCGTCGGGGATCTTAACAACGAAACGAGAGGGAGAGCGGTGGTACAGGGAGTAACCGCCATAGGACTTGCCGCCGTTCTGGTAGACGCCGTTGTAGGTGCCAACCATGGAGTGGCGGCAGTACTGCTCAAGACCAGAGGCGCACTCCTCGCAGTCACCGTTGCGGCCGCGGCAAGAGTCGCTCTGAGCACCAACACCAACACGGTCTCCAATCTTGATATCACCCTCGGCCTGGGAGCCAACGCGAACAGCGACACCGACGATTTCGTGACCGACACAGCAGGGGTACATGGTGGGGCCCTACATCTTGTTAGCTTGCAGTCAAAGGATGGAGTGAACGAGCATGCATACCCAACCGCTTCTGAGAGTGTGCAAGTCGGATCCGCAGATACCGCAGTGGGTGACCTTGATGTCAACATCGGACTCCTCCCAGGGCTTGGGCTCGAACTCCTGCCAGACCATGTTGCCGACGGAGTTCTTGTCAAGGCCCATCCAGCCCTCGAACTTGTAATCGGAAGCAGCCATTATGATTGAGTGTTTAGGTATGGAGATAATGATTATCCACGGAATATGATTATCAATTCCCCAGGGGTACTCCTGGCCTTTATATACGGATCACTTGCAACCAGGACAACGGGACAACGGGACAGGATTAGAAATCGAGCAGACTCTGGTCCACTTTTGATTCATGCGTGACGAGGGTGGAGACATGTTCCGTCCGAAGCCCATTCGATGACATACGATGATACGACAGTGATCTTGGGTCGACCCTGAATGGGTTACGACATCGGATTTACACGCCCCTTAATGGCCGGTAAGCGTACCTGGAAGCTTACCAGCGATCATGCAGCTGGCGCAGTTCGCCGCAATCGAAGATTTTTCAGCATGAAGCTTCCTGCCACGGGGCAACGGCATGGAATTTGGTTGAGGAGTTTCATTGGATCCAGTTAGTAAGGGACCCATCGCATGGTGATGAGTTCCAGTGTTCGGGATGGGGTTCCATGGACCTGGTGCGCTAACGGCAGTCTGCTTACGGCCCACTCGTGTGCAGCGGAGTTAAGCATAAGATGCTGACAGGTCTTCCTTCACCACGATACAACGATGAGCGTTCATTTTTTTTAAGAATCTCAATATATCCCTTCCGTCTGTGATTACAATTCTAACATATCTCAATTTTTCGCCTTTCCGACCGTGAAAATGGCATCAATGGCTTTCTAGACGCGCCGGTAACCGATGATATCTCCGGCGCTTACACCCGCCGGCGTTAACAAAACGTTGGGCTAGTACCGATCTTTCTCCGGCCACGGAAGGTGAGCCAGCCGCGGCATCCTGAGATTCCGGACTTCCAATTCCATGTTCGAAACTTCTAGAGCCTGAGCCTGAGGGTGCCACCCGACCGGTCAGCCCGTGGGATTGCTGTCAGCGGGCCGCCACATGCTCTTCCGCTGTGTTCTCCAATAATAGTGTATTTGTGGTATGGCTGAAAAGCTTGTTGTGCCTTTTCATTGGAAACTAGCCACTGAAAAACCTAGTTTGGACTAAGGCGGACTGGAATGCCCTGTGACATCATTCTCGTCCGATAAGTGCTAGGCCGGAGATATCCGTCGCACTCCGGATGGAGTCAGTCAAGCTGACGGCTGACAGCGTTAGCTACGAGCCGAGTCCGGGGGTAGCGTGTTTATTATTGACTGATGACAGACTGGATGTTTGTGGCCACTTGCCAGTAGGTTCTAGACAATCGCCGATGCTAAGCTGTGGGTAGTGGATTTGGAGGATACCAATAGTAATAATATACCTTTGCTGCTACAAGGCCAGTAGATCTACACAGAATAACTTCCCACATACGTCCATCACGTCGTAGTTCCCAATGAAAACCAACATCAAACCATTATCTTCACCCCCATTCAATGAACACTAGACTCACCACACGATACAATAGATAGTAGTCACCAACATCCCCAGCTTACCAACTTACTAGTTCCCAACAACCACCGCCTCCCTCACCAAAAAATAATGCGTCGTCGGCTCGGTCCCTCCAAACTTTGCATACTCCACCGTAATCTCATCCACAACCCTGAACCCATGATTCAAATACACCTTCAACCCCGCCGGCTCAGACATCACATACGTCTTGATGCCGTACTGATCCGCCACGCGTAGTCCGCTCTGCACAAGCATACTTCCTACCCCTTGTCTCCAGTAGTCGGGGTGAGTGGTGAGGTATTCCAAAGCTGTACACAGAACTAAATTAGTAATCTAGCATATTTTCCAAATATATATCAATATAGAAATGAAATCATCATCAATAAGTAGGATAAATGATGAGATAGAGATAGAAGAAACCATACTTAATACTTCCCCACCCCCCACCACACCCCTCAATACCCTCTCCTCAACCTCCTCTAACGGAGTCCCTCGAAACTCTAATAACCCGTCGCTTTTCATTCCCTTGACTCTGCCCTGCTCGTCGCTTCCAAGGTCATACATCTTTTTGAATTGTTCTTCCTCCTGGGCAGATGGCTCGGGTACCTGAGCTGAGAGCCATACGTCGTCTCGGTTGGAGAGAAAAGGAGGGAGAGTCCATCGCGCGTAGCCGATTACTCTTTCTTTATCTTGAACAGTATGCTCCGCGTTCTGGTTCTCAGTTGCAGGGGTAGTGCTGGTAAGGACAACTTCATGCCTCCGGACATCCCGCGCTGTACTCAACGTATGAGGGAGACGGGACTCGGTCGAGGAGATGATGGATGATGGAGTGGTGGAGGGCGTGAAGAGGAAGGCCCAGTGTGGGTCTGTGAGGCGAGAGAGAATCATGGTTTCTGCTAGGGTGCGGGAGTGGGAGGGGTGGGCGGGGTGGAGGGTATATTTTGGTGGCATTGTGGTGGGTTTTTGTATAGATGGGGATGGCGTGGGTATGTTGTGATGTGGTAGTAGTAGTGGTGGCGGTGTTGGTGGTAGGACAGCGTTGTTTGTATAGGAAGGGTTTGGGATGAAGACAGGTGGTGATATTGCAGGATTGTCGGTGTGGTTGGTTGTCATGGTAGTGCTTATTTTATGGATGATCTAGGAGATGAAGGTGGTGGGTGTAGTGAGCGTTACTCTGATAAAAGTGGATTAGTAGTAAGTGATCTTTGTATTTACTAAATTGGTTCATCTGCGAGATATATACATCAGTTGTATTCCGTACTAATTGAGTCTGGTTAATTGTTTATGCGTCAAGTGCATTTGCCAAGTCGCAGAAGATATTCAACTGTATTGCCATTTGTAATCTGGCTAGTGCTTATTTCTATGGCTACCAATGGTGTTGTAGATAATGTCAATGTGGAGTGATTCTGATGACGCTAAGCTGGAGATAAGAGCCGATGAGCATTGCTTGAAGCGTACACGTGATCTGTTGGAGACTCGGTGTATGGTCAACTACAGACTGTTTGTCCAGAATCTATGCTAGGTTGCGAACGAATTGAGCTATACATGCTTGCCACTTTGGCGAGGTGCATACGTTATACACAGTCACAATTTCAAGATTAGAATGCCTGACAGCCGTGCCAGGTATCGTATCTTCTCAACGGCAGCTTGGGAAGTTCTGGGTCGTAAGATTATATTATAAATTATGTATGACTGTACAAATAATAACAATAAGCGCATCCTGAAAGCATCACTCCTGCCGCATCTTCTTCCCTCGGGGACCGGCAACCGTTCCCATCAAGACTACAACTCGTTAGTCAAGAACACTGACAAGGATAAAGGGGGACTCACTATCCCAATGCTTAAACGAGCTAGAGTAATTCCCCCGGAAGTACCGATGGTGATCGTCATGCCAGTCCGATCCTCCCCACAGCGGAAAGATCCGTCTAAGACTCCAAGGGAAATCGTATCCAGAATGCGCGTCGATGGCCTGGAATTGACGCAGAGCCACCCAAGCCAGCACAGTCATCAAATGCACCTCGCCGGTGAAATATCCAAGGACCAAAGGGGGTCCGATCGTGCCCAGGCCAAGAAGCATGGTCTCCCAAGGGCTGGCGTACTCGGCCGTCAGACCAAACGGCGCGGCATATTGATGATGCACCCGGTGGATGGCACGATAAAGAGGGCCCCAGTGGAAGGCACGATGTAGCCAATAGTGATAAGTATCTTCGACGAAGAAGAAGATTGTGATTTGAATGGCAAGGGTTTTAAGATCGGGAAATGGAAGGGCGTATTTAAGACCGAACAGCTCCATCATCGGGTGGAACAGGACTATCATAGGCATTTCCACAATAAAGTGGATAGCAAGGATATATTTCACACAGCTCCATTGTTCTTTCGCTGATGGGGGTGCCTTCTTGTCCTGAATCTTGAAACGGTGGAATAGTGTAGGGAGAGCGTCGGCAATTATCCACGGAATGCAGCGGGCGAAATAGAGGATTTCGTGAGCGAGGAAGGTGATGATGCCTATCGAAGTTAGTAGGTGACAGAAAAAACACAATTGTGGGCGTACCAGTTGCGATAATATCATTATCCCAGTAAGCATAGTGTGTCCACCACGCCTTCTCCAGAAAAGACAGTTTCGGGTTTTGACTCGCCAGGGCATAGAGCTCGGGATATGTTGCCGCCGCCGGTGGCGTAAAGGTCGAGTTCATGTTGAACTCCATATTAGTGTACAAGCTTGAGTACATGCCCTCATCCGCGCTTGACGATAAAAATAAGCGCTTCTAAAATCCAGTATATGTACTCTGAGTACTGTTGGTGACTTCCAGCCCTGGTGGGTACTATCCGGATGGTCTGATCCGGCACACCACTCGGATGCCGGGCTCGATCGACTGACCAGACCCCGGGCTAATTAATCATCCAACAATTCAATTTCCGCCCCGCTGACTGGCTCCCCAGATTTAGCTAAGCCCTCGTTAATCCTTTGAGACAAATCTCATACCATACCAGCCGGGATCTGGATTCGTAGGCTGCCGTGTTGGCTAGCCGCTAGGGGTGCCTTTGACCTCAACGCCACACAGCATCATGCACAGACCTCAGGGGTGAGGTCGAACGACGCCGGATGCCTGGATCCCCGGATGATGGTCCAGTAAGCTAGCTAGGAGACACCTTCCGTACGAGATCGGCAACAGAAGATTCCGGTATGCACCCCAGGCTTTGATCCATAAAGGTTGTGCCAGGAGAGCTCTTTCCTAATGTCTTAAAATCCCTCGTTTTGCCACTCGCGTGAATGAAGTTGGTGATTAGCAAATTGTGACGCTGTGGAGTGAGGGATAAAGAGCTCAGCCTTGTCGGTCACTTTTAGGCTCGTCGTAAATCCAATAACAGCGACCGACTCAGACTTGCGAGCTTCTTTAGGCGCCTAAAGTTCGCATGCATCGATGCCATAGCCAGCTAACAGCGAGTTCATGTCTCATTCAGATCCTATTTTGGCGACATTCCATACACGACAACTTCCCACATCGCAGCCTGTTGTCGCGCCAGGCCCCAGTGCCCAAGACGTCTCAATAGTTCAATAAAATGACACAGCATGCTGGAATGCATGGGCTTTGGCCCCCACATTCCGGGACAATTGACCTCCGCGAGTATCCTTTCACAAAAAATCCCCGCGTGATTGAGTTCTGGAAAGTCGAAGGCATTCTGTGTGACATCTGTGTGATCGGCTATATCCTTGAATTGAAGATAGCAATAGAGTACCAATATAGCTCGATGTAGAGACCGAGGCGCGTGGATTGGTGGCTCCTTCGCTATAGGCATACTCTCCAGGCAGCGGAAGATCAGGACTGCATGGACAACGCACCGGCAGCCATCTCGCGAATTTGCCCAGGCTCGAGCGTAATACACGTGCCTCTGTGACTCTTCATGCCCCTCACGCCCAACTGCAAGTTCCAAGCGATCAAAATCCACCAGGGAGGAGAGAAATGTGACGTGCCACAGCGCTCTTAGGCAGAAGTTATTAGGGCCAACGGAAGAGCTTCTCTGGGTAATATTATTGCAGTAGAACTTCTCGAGCACACTTTGCTGTGAAGGTAATGCGGAGTAATCATCAGACATACGGGCATCACATACAGATCCTGCAATCTCCTCCAGGGCAAAGTATTCTTTAAAGCTGTTTTGTTTGGCCATCGAGTCCGAACGAACATGGGAACTTAGTTGTCGGGTTAAACTACGACTCCAGTCTGCTGCTGTTGGCGCGGTCCAGATTTCATCGTCAGAGATAGAGGACCTCAGCGACGGGCGTCTCATGTAGGGTTGTGAAAGAAACAAATCCGCAAACTCGCTATCCAGTATGGCCAAACCTGCTACGAGGCTAGACACGGTCAGTCGGTACTCGGTGAATGCTTGGGTAGTCTAACCGGCGTTGCTCTTCTTTGGCAACCCATTTAGTCCACGCTCCCTCTGGGTCGCGTTCGATTTCCTCTCTTTCAATCTCGCATGTTGACTGGTGACTGCGAAGCACCCGAATTCTCCGGACCCACTGGCTAAATTAGATTTTCGAAAGTCTACCACAGGGCAAGCATACCGTAATTATGGTATTATGAAAAACCTGAATCAGCAGGAGATGTCTACGCTTCTTCTCTATGTCAGACGATAAGACCCATTGGTTGATGTTGACATACTTACTCCGCTCAAATAACCAAACACCTGGCCTATCAAACCCGCCTGAGACATGGACCGTACTTCAGGCTCTCCTTTTCCAATGTATGTTTCCCACTAGGAACATTAATACAAGGCACTTCCCTTTCACTAAGGAACAACCTAACTTACGGATGCTAGTATAGCTTTGTTGAGTGTTTCAAAAATCCTGGTGCCACAAGAAATACCATGTCTGGAGCCTAGAAACAGACTACCGATTGAGCAAATTGAAAGCAACAGCAAAGCGTTTGCAGTTGAAGGTCGGAATGTTGGCGCATGGACTACGGGAAATATGGGATGGAATTTAGCAAAGTACATTTGTATGCACATATTCTGGAAATGTCAGTTACGCAGAGGAATATGTCATCAAGCACATACTAGGAAGTCCGTCGATGGCAAGGGATCTGTTGGAACGCGATATTGTAGACGCTCAGTCAAACCTTGTCGGTATGGCTCATCAACGTTTGCTCGTGATTCTCGATCTGGCAATCCATGCTCTGTACCTGGCGCCTCGGGGTGCGTGAACCAGTGACGACAAACTATGTCTTCGAATTTCTCAGTGCCATTTGGTAGACTTTCACCTGTCTGCAGGAGCGGGTCGCTTATCGGGCCCATGGTTGCCGAGTTCTGCAACAACGCTGGTAGGTTGGTTGATGCAATAATGGCAGCATTCAATGCATTGATATCAAAGTCATCAGTAGCGAGCCAAGTGGGAATCTGCGTCATGCTCTCAAGTGTCCAATCATAGGCCTGGCACTGTAAGTTCTCATTCAATGCATTGTCCGGTGGACTTAGGGAACTTGGACAGCCACTGGGAGAGCTGGCTGCCGGCCCCGGCTGCTGTGAAACCCGTTCGTATGCCTTGTCAACTGTCGAGCTATTTCCGTTGGCTTCTAGCATCGTAAGATACTCGCCTTTTTCAGCACTTGAAGAAAAAGGAAACGTAGTTACATTTCCGGGTTCTGGATGGTCAAACGATGACGATGGCGGCGTATCTAATAATATAGGCGGCGTTCGCAGTGGATCCAAAGCAATGCCTTCATCTAACCTGGGCGCGGCACAGAGGGTATTATCAACTTTGGGATTTCGGGCAGGCGTTGGCTGCTCCGGAAGCCTGGGCTGCTGGGGACTATCCTGTCCGTGATTACGTGCATGTCGCAGAAGGGAGTCACTAGATCGTCAGTCTAAGAGCTATTGCCCAATACTGATGATAGCATACTGGCGACTGAAAGGTTTACCACAAACAGAACAAAGAAACGGTCTCTCCTTTGTGTGGGTTCTGATATGGCGCGAGAGATGATCCTCCTTGGCGAAGGACTGGAAGCACCAAGGACAGCTCCGTTGCTTTCTGTTGCGAGGTCGACTTGGGGGCATGTTGGCAGCCAATTGTGAACCAAATTTCACTCGTTATCGATCGGTTGTCCCACGTCTAGCATGAAAAGCATGGCTGGAGTGTCTGGGGGTGGGGAGGGACCATTATCACCCACTGCTAGTGATGTTGGGGGGTTGGAGTCTTCTAACTAGTCGAGTACTCGTGATCAACGCAGGCACAAGCTGCTGCCTGAGGTTCCCCTCGGCGTCCCGCTGGTCCCACCGGCTTTACGGCTTTCCCCTCATCCTCTCCTCTTCTTCCCCCCAACGAAATCTCGGGAGATCAACATTTATGCCAACATGGCACAAGGGTTCCAAAGCAGCCTATTTGTGGCTTATTGCTTCCTCCCCTACGGTGTACAACAACAGGTCATGCAGGTTGACCTTCAGCGCCAGGTCCCGCCGGCGCCGCCTGTTCCTCCCCCATAAGCGGCCTCCACCCCTTGCCACGGCTTTATCAATCCCTGGTCAACAGCTTTATTTTGATCCACGGTGAGACCTGACGCAGACAAATACTTAAGCATAATGAATCAGAAAGACTGGGAAACGACTGATGTCGTTATATGTGGATGTGGTCCTACGGGCGCCCTGTTATCCGCTTATCTCGGTCGCGCCGGTGTCCACAATGTGGTACTGGAGAAGGAGCCGACAATCACCACTGATCCGCGTGGGATAGCCTTGGATGACGATGGAATTCGTTACCTACAGGGCCTGGGTCTGTACGACTCTATCTATACCAAGATAGGCACCTGTGAGTCTCCCTACCGCCACCATACTCGGGAGACTAACAAGCCGATCAATCAGCCATGGGAAGATTCAATTTCGTCAGTGGGACCGATAGCGATATGCACAAAGCTCCGATTCTGGCAATGGACTACAACATAGTGGGCTCTATCAACTCTCTTTGATGTGTACCCACTGACGATGTGAAGATCGCAGGAGCGACAGGCCATGTCGGCTTCATAGGCCATAAACAACCCGTCCTCGAGAGCCACATCAGGGACTGCATGCCTTCATCCCATTGCTCCTTACGATGCAACGCGACTGTCATTCGTCTGGAAGAAGACGAAGACTGGACTTATTGTACATACCGTACCGCGGCCGGAGAAGAGCACAGTCTTCGAGCAAGATTCTTCGTGGGCGCGGACGGGAAGACAGGTTACACGCGCAAGCAATATCTGGAACCGCGAGGCGTCATCTTAGAGAAATTCCATGAGTCAGTTAACCAACTCTTCTGGGAATTTCCGTTGCTGACAAGACAATAGAGCCTTCTATGAGGAAACTTGGGTAGCATTGAACTGGCGAATCACCTTACCAACACCCCAGTCGCATCCCAGCTTCCCACTGTGGAAGCGAGGTTACTCACCAGAGCAGGTGTATGACCTATTCTTTCCGCCCGAGTTTCGATTTCTTTGCAATCCGGACAGACCAGCTGTTGCTGGGCGCTTTGGCCTCCCAGCTGACAGACTGTGGCGGTTCGAGTATATCATCCACAAAGGCGAAGATGGATATGTGATGGCTAGTCCAGAAGAAATGCGACGCGTTGTTTATCCCTACATCACACACAGGGGCAGTCGATACCAGTATGTCTATCTTCCTATTGCCCGGAGACAATAGCTGACCGCGCAGGCTCGCTGGAGACGTACAGTTTCCTGAAGATTGCATCGAAGTACTCCGCTGTCGCCCGTTCACATTTTCGTCGCGGACCTGCAACATATGGGCGAAGGATCGAGTGATACTGTGTGGCGACGCAGCTCACGTGTTTCCGCCCTGTAAGTCACGTCATTGCTCCCCGTCAGGCATGCACTTACAACCATTGCAGTTGGCGGGCAGGGTATTGTCTCCGGTTTCCGCGACGCAATATCACTCTCCTGGCGCCTAGCTATGCTCTGTCGCTACCACTCTAATCAGAAATCTCATCATGATGTCCTAAAGGCTTGGTATGAGGAACGTAAGCAACAGCTCAAGCTTTCGCTAGCAACAACGGTCGCGAATGGAGTTATGGTATGCGAAACTCATCCGCTGAAGATCTTTCTCCGAGACTGGTACATCTGGTTCCTCCAGTTCTTTCCCAGCTGGAGACGACAATTACAGCACGGTCGCAGAAATGCTGCGATATTCCGATACAAACATTCCAGCGGAATGCCTTTTATCCCAGATCTAAACGGTGGTCTATATCTTCCGCAAATATATTGTCGTCGAACAGAGGACGATGAGATACTTTTCACAGACGACGCAATTTACGGTTCAGATAATACCACCTCTCTCTTCCGCTTATTTGTATACGTGCAGGACTCATCTGAGATCCCAGCTATCAAGCACGCCCTCGAGGGAATAGAAAATTGGTCCCGTGGCGAGTTCAGTGCAACCGACATCCCCTTTATTCTGGAAAACGGTGATATTGACCCAACGAGCTCATCTAAAGGAAGAAACATCTTCCGCGTCGCTACCGCAGACGAATTTGCCAAATCTCCGTTGTGTAGCGATCGTCCCAGGCCCTCGGATTACGACCCTTTCCTTTTAGGAAATAAAGTACAAGGGAAATATATCATTGTGCGGATGGACCGAACTGTGTTCGCATCTTGTGCGAACGAGGATCAATTAAGGGGCGCTGTGCAGATGATGTTGGGTTATCTTTACGGTGATACTACCGCTGAGTACTCGGCGAAGATATATAGTAGGATATAGACGGGTTGAGGAAAGGATTGTCTGATAGTACTGAACCAGATCTCTACTCTTTTATTCATTTTGCACATGTAAGCACACATAACCATTAACATATATTTTCTACATCCATAGTAAACATTGCCAAAAGTTTCACAAAAGTCTACATTGATGTGATCCTTGGTTGGGTTGGGGATAAAGGAACACAGAAACACAAATGGCCGCTTTGGAAAGTCACCTGACCGATGCGTGGACCGGTCGCATCTACGCCAACCATATTAGACGGGGATTTGTGTACCGAATAGAGACCTGAGAAGCATTTCAGTAGAACAAAGCAATCTCATTTCTTTCAAACGAAACTATTCCAAACGAGGGAGTAAGTGAGTAAGCAAGTAAGGGATAAGACAGCAAGAAATCAGACCACACTCAGCGACCGTGTACTTGTTGAGTGAGCGCTTCTCTTCCCTTCCAAAGCCAAACAAAACAAACAAACAGCAAATTGGCCCCACATTCTGAAAACAACTGCCCCATGGCCCCACAAGCACCACACCACACCACCTTAACCCACCCACCGCCTTTTGTCCTCCCACCCAGCTTGCCTGCCTGCCTAACATTGTTGGAGCGGTCTAGCCGGTTCCACTATCAGCAACTGCATCCTCAGCACTAATCCCATACTTCGTCCGTAGCCCCTTCATAACCAGCGCCGCCACACCAGCTACAGTCTTCGCCTGCGAGATCTCAAGAACAGACGTCTCCAGATCCAAACTACGTCGAATCCAATACTTAACTTCCAGTCCCATGAGCGAGTCGATGGGGAAACTGGCAATCTGCTTCTCGTCGAGTCCGGCCTGCGCCGAGAAATTGCCGACGCGTTTCCCGAGTTCGCGGATAATGGTGCTCTCGCATTTCGGGTCGTTTAGGAAGGAAGGGTTGTTGGCGATGGCTTCGAAGAGGCGGAGGAGAACGTCGGCTTCTTGATTGTGCGCTTCGGCTTTGCTGGTTCGCATTAGGGATGGGATGTTGAAGCGCACGTCTTGCTCGAATGAGGCTTTGCTGTTGTTGGTTTCCATTTGGTCCGGGTTGAGGAAGGAGGTTACGCCAACCATTATGTCTAGTGGGGAGGAGATGAGGGTGGGAGGGTCGGTGGTGGTGTTGGTGTGTGGTAGGGCGAGACGGAATGCGTCGATGACTTCTTGCTCTGAGAGGGAGAAGCGGGACTGTGTTTGGAAGAGCTCGACTAGGCGTGTGTTGCGACTGAAGTTTCCGACTTCTTCAACCGCGCCGAGGGTGACGCGGGTTGCTGGAAGGCCTAGCGAGCGGCGGTAGGTTACGAAAGCGTCGACGAAGGTGTTCGCGGCGCCGTAGTTAGATTGGCCTGGGTTGCCGGATGTTCCTACGACGGAGCTGAAGAGGACGAAGAAGTCGAGCTGTTTTCCGGAACAGACGTTGTGTAGGTTCCATGTGCCACGGATCTTCGGGCCTTGGGGTGCGATCCATTGCGCGTACGACATGTTCGCAAAAAGCTCATCCTTTTGCAGTTGGGCAGATTCAGCACGCTTTCCGGGATAAATTGGTAAGTTGGGAGGTTTACCTGTAGTACTAAGGAGAGATTGACGACTCCTGCGAGTTCGTGCTCACTGGCAGACACTGCTTGCTCGACGCTATCTGCGTCTTCGACACTGCCGTGGACTACGGCCACTGTGCAGCCCTGGCTCTCTAGCTCCTTGACGTAGGCTTGATCAGACTCGGATTGACCTGCTGATCGTGACATTATGACCAGATGTCTGGCGCCGTTGGTAACCATCCATGTCGCTAGTACTCGACCGATGCCGCCAAATCCACCAACGAGCAGGTACGACTTTGTAGGAGAAAAGATGTATCTCTTTTCGATTGGCTTGTATTTGAGACTGTGAGGCACTTCTGGCATCTTCACAACTATCTTACCAATGTGCCGGCCTGTCTGCATATGTCGGAATGCACTTGCGATATCGTCTGCCTCGAACATCCGTGGAAACAATTGCGCCTGTAAACGCCCTTCTTGACAGTAGGTAAACATCTCATTGATCGACCTGTGGAACATTAGCACCCAGGGTCCATGACTAGTGTCAGTATGGAATTAGAAACATACCCCCGAACAAGATCTGGGTAGTCATCGAGCATCTCACTCAAGTCAACACCAAAGAACGAGCGGTTATTTGCAAAGTGCACCATCTCCAGCTTTCCATGCTCCAGCATGTCACGCTTACCAATCTCAATCATCTTGCCCATTGGGGCCACGCAGTCCCAAGATGCATGCAGAAGTTCGCCTGCCAGTGAGTTCAGGACAAGGTCTACACCACGTCCGTTTGTAGCAGCCAGGACACCACTGCGAAATGAGACACTTCGAGAATCGAATATTCGATCTCGTGAAATATTAAAGTTTTTAATGAGGAACTGGATCTTTTCTTCACTGCTGACAGTGGCATAGATCTACATATGGATGAGCATTGGTCTATTGACGGGGAAGGAGACATACCTCAGCACCAACCATGCGGCATATGTCGATCGCTGCCAACCCGACACCACCGCAAGCTGAATGAATGAGCACAGTCTGCGAATCGAACATTAGGAAACCTGCTTCTCAATGTATTCACAATCATCTCACCTGTCCTTTGTTCAGATTTCCTATCGTCAAAAGGGAGTAGATCGCCGTTGCGTAGACACAGGGCATCGCAGAGGCCTGCTCGAGCGATATGTCGTCTGGAATACGCATGCAATTTGTTTCCTGCGTAATCAATTGAGTCTTGAATGTGCCCTGCTGAATCACGATCACGGCGTCTCCCGCGTGCAAGTCAACCACTTCCGATCCTACTCTGCGGACAACACCGCTGCCTTCTAGACCCAAAGGAAGATCGGTCACGAGTAGGCCCAAGGCAAACATGAGATCCTTGAAATTCAAGCTAAGAAACCTCATCTCCACTTCGACCTCATTCTGCTTCAGGCTCATCTGTCGTTCTTCCTCTACCCACTGAAGCGTATCTAAGACACCGCGTACTCCAGGATGGAGGCGGAGGGGTCCACAGTTGCCTTCAACTTCCAGCTGCCTCTCTTTTGATAAGCCGTTGCACCTTGTTGTATATACAATGCTGTCTTCAATGGTGTATTCATAATCCCTGCCAGACGGATTGGCCTTCTCATCGAGAAACTCGTTAAGCACGCGGACTAGAAGGTCCGCGGTAGTATCAATAAAATCGTCAATCTCAAGGGTCCTGAAATCCATGCCGGTCTCAGCTCGGATGGTACGTCCAAATCCCTGTATAAGTCCATAGCGAGGATCAGAGCACGTCTTTTGAGAAAGCTGGGTGACCCAGAGTGTCCGGCGGGCAATAGAGAGATAACTCCTAAGGTTCGAGAAAGACTCTCCTGACAAGTCGTAAAGGAAAGGACCATCAAGATCAAGAAGTGAAATAACAACACTTTTTTCAACATCTTCGCCGAATATACACCATTCCACAGTATGCCCATAATTTGAAAGCTTCTTTTCAATGACCGCTGCCCATGGGTGCTTTTGAGTTTGAAGCGTTCCGAGAAGGCTGATTACAGACATCGACGGCTTGGACAGCGCGTTCCTTGCTATCATGGTGGCAGACATTTGGAATGGAAAGTCTTCGTCATCTACGAAGTCTTCCATTTCCAGGAAGCCTGCCTTGATGAGTTCGTCGTTCCACCGGTCTACCTTGACATAAGGTCGATCGACACGCTGGTCTGAATCCCCTAACCACCATCCAGGGAGAGTGCCCTGTTGGAGAAGTCAATCATTCCCACTTAGAACAGACTCCAGCGCCGTGTAAAAAGAATGAAACAGAGTATACATACCATAACCCAGTCAATATAAGGTACGTCTGGCCACTGAGATTAGCAGATGCTTGGGATAGGGTTGCATTCATCGTACCAGCAGACAGCTCATGGAGAACAAACCAGCCACCAGGCCTCAGTAGTGTCTTCACATTTATAAGAGTCTTATTCAAACTCGGTGTAGCGTGTATTACGTTGGATGCGATAACCAGATCGAATCCTCCAACTTCAAAACCCTGCTCTGCAGGCGACAGCGATATATCAAGGACCGCGTACTCTAATTGATTTCCATATTTCTCCTGCAAGGGTATTAGAAATCCAGGAGTGACATCTGTCACAACATATCTGGCGAAGGATCGTTCTCCACTGGCATCGACTAGAGCTCTTAGAGCAGCCACCGTGGCGGATCCCGTTCCAACGCCAATTTCGAGGATTCGCAGCTGAGGACTGGAATGTGCGACGAGGCGGAAAAGTCGATCCCAATTGAAAATATCCACTGCGTAGGCATATATGTCTTTCCACGAGTCACGCGGAGCCAGTAACTGTGCCGCTGATTGTTTCCCGACCATCAGGGACTCCATCTCTGATTCAAGACAGTATCGCGCATCCGCAAAGAACCCCGACAGTCTCAGATCAGGAACCTTGTCAAGTAGGCCTTTCCATAGACTGAGGCGTTCGCCAGGGCTCATTAGTGCCCATTTCCGTGCCTCTTCAATGCTGTGATAGTCTTCCGTTCTTATCCGAAGAGCCTCGGACTGAATCCACTGCTGATACTTTGTCATATGAGGCACGGTTGGTGTTAGATTACGAACCAGAACGTCAAAATCTAAAATTGCCAAAACAGCAAGCCTAGCTGTTGTTTCTAGTCCTGTATCCACACCAGCGCGCCTGATTGAGCGTTTTGTACGATTGAGACGGATCTCTGGTTTGTAGTCCATGTGAGAGCAGAGAAAAGGCTCTTCACGTACGATCGCTCCTTCACTTTCTAGCGCAAAGAAACGGGCGTCCCTCATGAATAGGGCGATGCTGCTATCACTGCGTATCAGGCGGGAATCCCCTCCTAATCTACCAGACATAGGCCCAGACGATGTAGGACTGACCACCAATGACATGGTCTCGCTACTGTGCGTTAGGTACACCTCACCAATATACGAGGGAACACCTACTACACCAGCCCCTGGTGCAATACCGCGACATGCCGCAACACAGTGTAATTGCAAGCACTGGTCGATGGCGGTAGGATGAATAAGATAGCGACCACTATGC